CTATGTACACAAAAGGCCTATTTCTCTCAAGCGCTGCCTACAGTGTGTGATGCGTGGTTTGGTAGTAATAGTAGGGATATGGAAACACATAGTTAGAGTTGGTCATAAAAACTGAAACAGAAGTGATTTTATTTAGTCCCTTAACCGATTCGGCCATCGGGGAGACATGAGGGAAGAAGTAGCAGGCAATGCCCTCCACTGATCTCTGTCTTGAGCTATCTTGAGGAGCTGTGGCAAGGGCCTGTCAGTCCACTCCATCAGATTGTCGGTCCAGCTCTTCCTTTGACGCCCGCGGTGGCAACCACCTTCCACTGTGCCCTGAAGAATGGTCTTGGAGAGGTTATTGTGGCGCGTCACATGGCCAAACCACTGGAGTTTCCGCCTCTTCACAATGGCCGGCAGAGGATCATGGGAGCCTACCAGGCTGGTACATTTGTCCCAGATATAGTCATTGGTTTTTTGCTCTAAATAGGTAATGCCCATGAGCTTTCTGAGGAATTTGAATTCAAAGGCCTGAATCCTTCTCTCATCTTCAGCTAGAAGTGTCCATGCCTCACAACTGTATAGCAGGACGGAAACCACCAATGACTTGAACAGGAGGTACTTTGTGCAAAAGTTGATGCTTTTGCTTCTAAAGATCTTTTGGAGCCTTGACATTACAGCAGTTGCTGTAGCAATTCTGATATGGATTTCTGCTGTGCGAGAGCCATCTTTGGATAATGTTGCTCCCAAGTATTTAAATCCTTCTACCTCTTCAAGCTTTTGCCCTCCTATGGTAATGTTAGTGGTGGTGTCTTTACAGAAACAGAAGTGAAGAAGGGTGTAAAAAGAGGTTGAGTCAAAAGCGATACTTATGTCCCTTGTCTGTGTCCCTGCACTGTGGAGTCGCATGGTAGAGTCGATGGTCTTTACACTCTTCGATCTTCACAGGAGGGCTGCCGTGGTGTACTAACCTTTTTTATACCCGTTTGACAAAACGAAAATTTAATTCAGCTGAACACACTTTACTGTTTATCACAACAAAGGGCTAAGCAAGCGTACAACACTGACAAGGTATGCGATACAGTACGAGACCAAACGCAACAATTTTTCATCTAATAAATGCACTGTTGGTGAACAGAAGAGACTATGTTTCAAAAAATTTTAAAAATCTTACTGACCCCAAAATAAATTCTATTTAAAATTAATAAAACTTGTCCCTGGTCTCAGTGTCAATGATTCATCAGGTTATGTTATTCTAAATAAACATGTTTTTCATTGATATATTTCACCAAAATGTAATAATTTGCCCCACCTCTAAAACAACTAATGTCGGCTGTTGTATGTGCTGCAGTCTTGTCAGTTCTTCACTTGTCTATTATTCTCACAGTAATGCTGGTTAACATTCATGTAAATGTAATGGCAATAATAGTTTATAATGCTAGAATTGAAGAGTGTCCCCATTGGGATGTGTTTTTCCATCTTAAAAATATCTTTAAAAAAAATAATAATTATGACCTATGCTCTCAATGTCAAATGCAGAAACTTTAATTCATTAATTCATGACCTCAAGGTTAGATTATTGTAATGCTTTATTGGGTGGTTGCTCTGCACGCTTAATAAACAAACTCCAGCTGGTCCAAAATGCAGCAGCTAGAGTTCTTACTAGAACCAGGAAGTATGACCATATTAGCCCGGTTCTGTCAACTCATGCACTGGCTCTCGATTGAACATCATATATATTTTAACATCTTGCTAATTACTTATAAAGCCCTGAATGGTTCAGCTCCTCAGTACATGAGTGAGCTCTTATCACATTATAGTCCTTCACGTCCGCTGCAATCTCAAAACTCTGGCCATTTGATAATATCTAGAATATCAAAATCAACTGTGGGCGGGATTTAGGGTTAGGGTTAAAACAGATACTTTTCCTATTTAGTGCAGAAACTCTGGAACAATCTACCTAGTGTTGTTCGAGAGGCAGACACACTCTGTCAGTTTAAATCTAGATTAAAGACCCATCTCTTTAACCTGGCTTACACA